TAGTATCTTCAAATTAGAACCTAGTTGTACTGAGCCTCTTCTCCATTTAATTGATTAAAAAGTAAGCCGGGTTCATGATTTAGTTTTAAAATTCATCATTATATACCTCGTCTAAATATTTCTCAACCTGTCCATCTAGTTAATTATACACACCATTCCGCAAGTCAAAGCCAAAGCCCTTTAACTTTTTTTTTTATTTTATATTTGATCACAGTTCCATCATTTACAACCACATGAACAAACTCTCTATTCTTTGTTCCCTTCATTCCCTGCCCACAACCAGTAGCCGTCATCATCCCCCCCTTATTTCCCTCTATTGCATAGCCTTCAAATGTTTCACTTCACTGGACTAGAATCCTTATTTTCTCCCAAAACAATTTTGCATATCAATGAAATCCAAGATAGTAACTATAATCTTGCCAATATCATCATAATTTAACAAATACTCCAACAACCAACATTATCCCCAACATCAAAGTTTTTTATTTTTTTATTCTTTTTTTTAAACCCCACATAGACCTTATCAAACTCATCCCCAAGATTCTAGGTTTACGTTAAATAATAAATATTCAAAATTAATATGAAATCAAAATCACATCTACAAGCTCAACTTCATAAGGTTTCTAAACAATCAAGCGAGGGGCGTACCTTTTGACAATCGGGTCAGCGGCATCCATTGCTTCCAAAGGCTAGTCCTCTTCCTTTCTCAATCTGTTGTTTCTATTTCCTTCAAAACCCTTTTGAGCTGGATATTCGGGATTATTGAGACATGAAAGGTCGAAGCTTCTGGCTAGCTTGAAATGGACCCAAAATGGAAGAGGATGGAAATAAGAATCGAATTGGCGGACACAAAATTGAAAGAGCCAATCGGGTAAACCATTTTCCATTGTTTTCCTATTTTGTTAATTTTTGGTCCCAAATGGTGGGGATGGTGGGAGAGAAGCTGAAAGATGAGAAGTGAAATGATGACTTGATGAGGATGAAGACAATTCTGGGAAAGTTTAATTAAAGTAAAGATTGTAAAAAGGAAATGGATGTATTTTTTTTCTTCTTCAGTAGTAGTAGGTTGGATTGGAAGCTAAAAGATAAGTTTTTGAAGCAAAAAAGAAAATTGGAGAAAAATAAGACCTTGGGCTTTTCGTTCTTTCCTTTCCTGGTGGGATCAATTTCTTAAGATTACTTGGGCTTCAAAAAGATCAAGCTGGGGTTGCCAAAAATTCTCTGGTACAGAACAAAATATAAAAAGCACAAATAAAATTTATATTGAAAAACATTGCAAATGGGACTAATTTAATTTAATTTAATTTAGTATGTAAGACATCTATCCATTTGCATTTTTAATCATTTAAAATTGGCCAATAACAAACAATAAAAATGAAAAATATTTAAATAACAAGTTTAAAAATGTTGGGATACAACTTACAAAATTTTTTAATCATCTTAAAATTTGATACAAATTATATTCCGTTATAAGATTAAAAATATCTTACTTCATCTATAAAAACACTACAAATACAAACTAATCATGTATCACGCCACCTTATCCCTTGACACTAGATGAGACTCAGAATCCTTGTATTTGGTCACCTCCATAATGGTTGCACCAATGACTTGAGCTTGTTTTGATGTAATCCCTGCTAATTCAAGACGTCGGACCATCTTGAGAGAGCGTAAATGAGTTGAAAATTTCCTAAGAGAAGATATGCGGAGATGTGCCATTTGAGTATTGGAGTAGACGACTGCAACGAGATTGAGACATATTATTGTCAACCAGACAAGTCAAGCGCATAAAGTTCAATAGACATGTATAAATCAACCAAATAGTCACTCAAGTTCAAGCACAGAGAGTTCAAGACACGTGTTTAGTATTGATTCAACCTGATTATCATCATCAACGAGATTTGATCCTTTGTTATTCAAGGTACATTCTGAGAGATCGAAAGCTGCAGATATCCTTCAACAATATCGGCAAAAAGAGTACGTAATTAGGTTCCACAGTGCAAGATCATTGCCTTTTTACCGTCACATCGGAATCTTATACAACTTCATATGTGACGGTCTCATGACAAGTTCAAGCACAGAGAGTTCAATAGACATGTATAAATCAACCACAGACTCATCCAAGTTGCAACAAGAACTTAAACTAATAGAAGACCTAGTGCAATGAAATATGCATCTAACTGATTTCGACAACCAATTCATAAAGTACTAATTGTTAGGCTAACCAGATTCCAAAAAGGGATTCAAATTACAGCGAGATAACTCACAAGTACTGTATGTTGCCCTCGTTTGCTCTGTTTGCAGGTCAATTTAACAACATTGCGAGGTTCTATATTTTAGATGATTAGTATTTTCAAATTAGAACCTAGCTGTACTGAGCCTCTTTTCCATTTAACTGATTAAAAAGTAAGCCGGGTTCATGATTTAGTTTATAAAATCATCATTATATGCCTCGCCTAAATATTTCTGAACTTGTCCATCTAGTTAATTAAACACACCATTCCGCAAGTCAAAGCCAAAGCCCTTTAACTTTTATTTTATTAGTTTGATCAGAGTTTCATCATTTACAACCACATGAACAAACCACCTATTCTTTGTTCCCTTCATTCCCTGCCCACAACCAGCAAACAACAACAATAGCAGTCATCATCCTTGCCTTATTTCCCTCTGTTGCACAGCTTGCTAATGTTTAACTTCTTTGGACTAGAATCCTTATTTTCTCCCAAGACAATTTTACATATCAGTGAAATCAGAGATATTTACTTTAATATTGCCAATATCATCACAATTTAACAAATACTCTAATGACGAGAGCCGGGATTTGTACAACCGGTTTAACCGTGGAACTCCAGTAGGGTTTCGGTGATCTACAAGAGAAAACCTCGGGGGGTCTCCCGAGGGCAGATACTCCGATGATTAAGTCAGTAAAAGGGTTGTATAGAAATGTATGATTGGTAGTTGGTGCTAAAGATAGCGTACCTTAATTGTAGTGTGATCAACACTATTTATAGTCATGGAATTACCTTGTAGATGTTCGAATCCTACTAGGTTTCATAGTACCAAACCGCCTTCAAAGAATCGGTTGGACTGTAATTAGCGGATGGGCCGGTCTGATAACTCATGATGAATATGGAATCGGCAAGTGCCCCTGTCAAGTGTTAGTTATATTGAATAAACAATACTTGACATTAAAAATATTCTAACCTAGACTCGGCCCAAAGGATTCAGACAATTTGCGGTGCAAGATATATGTAACTCAGATCCCAAACCGTGGAGACCCGGTTTAGAGGAAACCTTGTACGTGGGTAAGGATCTGACCTGAGAAGGTGACCCGCTTCAACATCTCGCCTAAACCATTAAACCGTGTGTTCTTAGTGGGCACATTCTCCAAACGGTAGTCAGCAGCATCGTTACTGCCTCGACTCTCATTATAACAGCAAAAACTGGACTTTCTAATCAATGACGAATACGCCAATCGCCCCAAGCAAGACCGCCCTTGTCCCCTTCCGATGGCTTTTCTCGCTTCAATCTGCGCAGAACATGGTAGGGTCAGGGCCTTTCTCGCTGAGCAGCTGCATCATCAGATTAGGGCTTAGCTAATCCAATAGCTGAGGGAACCTTAATGTCTTCATGGAAGCATTAATTCGTTTCCGGAGAGAAGAATTAATGTGGGGGGGGGGGGAGGAAAGGCTTGTTATACCAATGAGAGAGAGAAAGAATCCAATTCTTTCATTTTATTCACTCCCAAATCAAAGAAAACGTCAAAAAGAACTCATGCTACTATAGTGCCCCTGCCTGCTATCGGTGGAATTATTTACAACCCCCTGTTGCCGGAGAAAGGTGATACTCGTCACTGTCGAGGACTGTCGTTACCCTGGGAGGCTACAACTCAAAAAGAGAGTCGGAATCGATTCCAGTAAGTGTCTAAGACTTTGGAACCTCTTTCTTGTTTGTTTATTATATCTGAACATAAATTTAAATCATTGTTGGTAGACATGGCTACAAATCCAAATCTGAAATATGTCTAAGACTTTGCATCCACTATAAATTCCGATGAGATGACCAAAATTGTGGCTTCAAAGTATGGTATCCCCTTAGATATGGAACCTAGGGCCCCCATAGGTAATGAGAGAGTCAATACTCCTCCAGAGGGAAAAATTACCATGTATGATCGCTTTATGTTTCTTGGGCTTAGATTCCCCCTTTTCCCCCTGTTTAGAAAGATTGTTTAGCATTACAAAATCCCACTTGCTCGATTCACCCCAAACCTGATAACATATGTCCTTGGTTTGTAAAACTATGTGAGTTGGTGGATGTAAGACCTCGACTGCTCACATGGAGGTACTTTTTCAAGGTCTGTGTTTTCTCGACCAAGTTCAAGGATTGGTAAAATATCAAGAAAACCCCGAAGTCTGGTGCTATAAAGATTGTAAACTCATTTGATGGTTCCCCAGTGTGCAAAACCAGATTACTTATATGTGAAAGCACCAGAGGATTTCTGTCACCCCTGGAACTATCGAGAAGCAAATGGTCTTGATGTGATAGTGGACGAGTGGAGCAAGAATAATGAGAAGAAAATTTTGGAGTATAGTGTTGACGTCGATGCCATGGAAAAATATTCTAAGTTTATCCTTTGGACAGATGTTCAGTATTACGTTCCTCCAATTCCAGTAAGAGAAAGAAGGTACTAATTTCTCTTTTACTCTCTTTGTTTAGGTTATGTCATCGAGCAAAATAGCTTAGGGACTATTTTGTGATGCCAAACCCTTTGATGTTAAAAACTCAGATGACGAAGGATCATTCACCAAGGTTGTGAAGAAGAAGAAGAAAGTGAAGAGATTGGTCAAGGCGTCGGATGTCGAGTCGAGGAAAAAGAGTAAATATGACCATCCCCTCGAGAAGGAAAATGTCCTCGAGAATAACGAGATGGTCCCGCATGTCGTCGAGTCAGCCAAAGACACCCCTACACAGCCAACCAAGGAGTCCCATCCTGTGGAGAAATGGACCTAGACTCCTACACAGTACCGCATCCCCCCTTGGAGAAGCACAAAGATGTTCTCGAGGACACCGCCGCTTCTCCTGGATCTTCCAACTTAACTGCTATTGCCGCAATATATCATTTTGGTGAGGCTACAATCGAGTGCCCCATCGTTGAGGAGAATGTAGCAACCATGACGGAGGAAGATACCTTAAAGCTGGTAAGTTCTTTCCTATTTTTGAGTCATTATAACTCGTTGTGTTTTACAAATCATTTGAAGAGAATGTTCATGACCTATAGATGAGTACTGCAATGATAAGCTTCTTGCTCCGCTCCAAGAACCTGAAAGATGATCTGGCCAAGGTGGAGGCTTTAAAGAAAGCAATCGAGCAAGAGAAGATTGCCCAAAAAGATGCTTGGAGGAAGGAGAAGTTGGAGTTCGCTGCTAAAGAGAAGGAACTGGCCTCATTGCAGGCAAAGTACAATGAGTTGGAAACAAAGATGAGGGAATATGGAGATTCCCATATCTTGAAGACAGATCTCCACCACTAGCTCGTGACCTTCTGGTCCAGAATGTTACTTTCCGGTGGTATGACCAATGTTATGCTGAGAATAAGCAAGGCGGCGAAAGAGTTTGGCAGCCATGGTGTTGCAGTGGCTGCCCTCGAGAGGCTGGAGAATGGCAGAGCTGTCAGCGCTGGCTGGTTGAAGCAATTTTTAAAGCCCAATCCAGATGCACCCTGCACGAGGAGATGGTAAACAGGCTTATGCACCTTAGCACAGACCAGCCTCTCTTGTTCAACTCTTTGTGCACCGCCATTGTGAAGATGTGCTCCCCTATAGAAATCACCTTGTTTCTAGGTGATGTCTCGATGATTCTTACTTGGAATCCAAGTGAGGAACTGCGAGTGCCAGAACTGTCTGATAAAAACATCAGGATTGAGCTGGCTTCCGATGATGATTCCTCAAAAGTGACGGACTCTATGAATTCAGGAGCCAAGGATAAGGAGCCTGGGGTCGAGAAGGATGCTGAGAAGACTGCTGAGCCTACTCCAACACCGGGGCTAGTCGAGGAGACCAACGAGAATCAGTCGGTGAAGACTCTCGACCAACGAGAATCTTCTTACTTTGTAATAGAATTCGTTTTGGCTTCTCGGATTTTGTTGTAAATTGCTCAAGTGAGCTGTTATGGACAATTTTTTTTTTTGAAGTACTTATGCACTAATCCTTTTTTGCCATTCTACTCCTTGACTATTTTTATTGGATGTGCTAGGAATCAAACTTCACCCACCGAATCCATGTGATGATCCTCGATGAGAATCAAGCCAAGACATACCCCATGTGTTCCATGATTGCTAATCTCTTGAGGAAGAGGGAAGTCATTCATAACATAAGGGTGGTGGAGCAGCTCGAGAAGGATATCCTTGATGCCATCCAAGCGTATAATGTGCAAATACATTCTCAACTGATGAATAGCCTCAGAGAGAAGGAGGAGGAAATGCAACGCCGCCTCCATCAGTATGACCTAGATTATCAGAACTCCTTGATGCTGGGCGGACATATTGTCAAGGAGGTTGCTCATTTAAAGGAGAAAAATGCCAAGTTGAAAGCTGATAAAGGGATTACAGTCTCACCATGGTTCCTCGAAAAGCACCACATTCTCTCGATAGTCAAGCAACAGATAAAAGTCAGAATCGAGCATTTCATTGCCACGATCAACTTGCTTACGAAGAGGACTCAAGAAGTAGAGTTCCTTACAAAGCAATCCTCTATCCTGCAGAATTTGGTGGCTAATCATGAAATCCCTCTCTCGGATCTCAGGAGAATGACGGGAGATGAAGATCCTAAAAGGAGGATCACGGAAGAAGAGTTCCTGTTGAGAATGAACAAGCAAGATCTAGAGATCCTTGACTTAAAGGATAAGCTGAATCAATGTATTAATAAGTGTAAGATCCTTGGATTCTCGGGTGTTATCATGCCTTCTCACTTCAATCCAAGTAAAGAATACATTTTAATCTAGGAGAAGATAGATGTATCTTTCCCTGTATTTACCCAACCCTGCACGATATGTGAGGATAAAAAACTTATTCGAGCTTTGCAGGCGTCGTACTCGAGCAGTGATTTATATAGCGCTTTTTTTGGCTGGATGTAATGTACACGGCTCTTTCGAGGGAAGTGGGTACGAGTTCCTCATTATTATAATACCACGATCTAAAGCGTGTACGAGGAATATTCCTCATTTTTATATCCGGGTGTTGAATACACAGCTCAATTCGAGAATGTCCCTAAAGAGGGTGTCCATCTGGCAGACTAGTCAAAGTATAGTGTCGACATAAGTAAAGGATATTTACGAAGAAATATGCAATGATTTTTATTCAATAATTACCCGAGGATCCGGGTTAGCATTACATATAAAGAAATAAAATCAGCAAAACACATAAAGCAAGTAGGTGCATTTAACTTAGAAAATAGCAAATAAGGACTCAAACATAGAATCTGCGAAGGATCTGGACATTCCACCACCAAGGATGGTTTCAGTATCGTCTGCTATTTGTACGCGATAGTTGCCGGATGGGGAAGTTTTGATGACTCGATAAGGTCCTTCCCAATTTGTTGATAGCTTTCTAGGAGCCTCTGCTCGACTGGCTTCATTCTTCCTAAGTACCAGATCCTTGACAGCGAAGTCAGTGCTTTTGACTCGATTGTTATAGTGCTTTCTGAGAATCTACTTGTACTTAGCTTCCTGGACTTTCACGGCATCCGGCCGCTTCTCGAGCAGGTCAAGGTTAGTTCTAATATCTTCATTGTTGGTGTCCTCGGCAAAGTTGATGGTTCAAGGACTCGCAAGGCCAATTTTGACTGGGAGGACATCGGCCATTCCGTAGACCAAGTTGTATGGCGTTTCATCTTTTGAGGAATGAACTGTGGTGCGGTAGGCCCATAGGACGTGAGAAGTTCGTCAACCCAGGCGCCTTTGGCATTTTGCAGTCTGGTCTTGATACCATGCAAGATGGTTTAATTTCTTGATGGATTCCGCTTGGTCGTTGGCTTGTGGATGAGATATGGCAGAGAATCGACGCTCGATTTGCATCTCGGCACACCAGAACTTGAAAGGATCGCTCACAAATTGAGTCCCATTGTCTGATACAATTACTTTGGGCACTCCAAATCGGCAAAACACATTTTGCCAGAAAAAATTCAACACCTTCCTTCCAGATATTGAGGCCAATGGTTTTGTTTCTACCCACTTAGTAAAATAATCCACTGCCACAATAACCCATTGTATCCCTCTTGTTCCTTTTGGAAAAGGGCCGATGATGCCGATGCCCCACTGATAAAAGGGCCAAGGACTTTGGATAGTGACCATCTCATGTTGTGGTTGTCTGGTAATGAGAGAATATAGTTGACATCTATCACACTTTTGCACAAACTGGTATGCATCTTTGAAGATTGTAGGCCAGAAGTAGCCTGTTCGGAGGACCTTTTTGGCCAATCCTCGAGCTCCCATATGCGTGCCACACGAACCTTCTTGAACTTCCTCGAGGACATATGCCGCCTATCTTGGACCGATACAGCGTAGCATTGGTAGCAGGTACCCATGCTTGTAAAGAATTCCATCCTTTAGAGTATTCTTTACAGCTTTTTATTTCAGCCCCTAAGCTTCAAATTTGTTGCTAGGCAATGTTCCGGTTGTCAGAAACTGAATAAATAGTGTCATCCATGTTTCTCCATCTTTTGTGATTGTTAGTATTGGACTCTGTCGGAAGCTAGGTTCAGGGAGAATCTCGACCCACACCTTATGACTAAGATGTGCAAAATGGGATGAAGCTAGCTTGCGTAAAGCATCAGCTCTCTTGTTCCTCAATATAAGGATATGGGATATGTAACACTTCTCAAATTTGTCCCGCAATTCGAGGACTTTCTCGAGATATTTCTTGAGTTGTTCTTCTTTAGTGGTATAATCTCCATTGATTTGATTGACAACCACCTGGGAGTCGCTAAAAACTTTAAGTTCTCGGACTCCAAGCCTAAGAGCCATATTCAATCCTGTGACCATTGCATCATATTCAGCTATGTTATTGGTAACTGGGAAATCAAACCACAAAGCATACGTGTACTCGACATCATACTCTTTCATCTTCTCAATTTCATGAGCTAATGTTGGTTTTGCTAAGATAATACCAGCTCATCCCCCTTCCTCACGAGAGGAGCCATCGACATAAAGTGTCGAGGCTAGAGGGTCCCTTGTCGTATGTCTCTGTGCTTGTTTTTTGGGCTGGGGATCGAGTGAGGTGCTTGGAGTACAGGGCATTTCGATGAGAAAGTCTGCAAAAGCTTGCCCTTTGATGGATGTTCGCAGTTTGTACTCAATATGATGTTTCCCCAGCTCGACAGCTCACTTCATCATTCTGCCAGATGGCTCAGGTTTGAGGAGGACTTGTTTGATAGGTTGCTCCATTATAACCTGGATGGGATGAGCTTAGAAGTAAGGGCGTAACCGACGAGCAGCTAGTACTAAACTTAGTATCAACTTTTCCATGGGGGCATATCGAGATTCCGCTCTTTGTAAAATCTTGCTCACAAAGTACACTAGGATTTCCTTCCCGTCTTTCTTCTAAATTAGGACTTCTTTCCTAACACTCCTCATTCCATTTGAACTTCCTTCCTTTTTGCAGCGTCTTGAAGAAAGGGAGGCTCCTTTCAGCTGCTCGAGAAAGGAATATGTTTAGGGCTGCTAGTGAGCCTGTAAGTTTATGGACTTCTTTAACTGTTCTGGGTGCCTTTATAGAGAGAATGTCCTCGACTTTTGTTGGATCTACACTTATGCCATCTTTGGAGACTTGGAAGCCTAGGAATTTTCCTGATCCGCCACATAAGGCACACTTCTTTGGTTTAACTTCATGTTGATGTTGTGGAGAATCGTGAAGATTTCTCGCATGTCTTCAACCACCTTTTCGTCGAGTTTGCTTTTGATAACCATGGCATCTACATAGATCTCGATGTTATGCCCGATTTGCTCTTGAAATGCCCTGTTAACCCACCGCTAGTAGGTGGGTCATGCATTCTTTAAGCCAAAGGGAATTTTATCGTAGCAATGAACCTTGATTTCCGTGATGTAGGCTGTTTTCTTCGCACTTCTCGAGCCAATAGTATCTGATGGTATCCTTTGTAGGTGTCGAGGAAGCTAAGAGTCCTGTGACTAGTGATTTCCTCGACCATCTGATCAATTACTGGTAAGGGATAACAATCCTTGGGGAAATGTTTGTTGAGATCAGTGTAGTCTTTACACATAAACCAGGAGTTGTCGGGCTTGCAAGCGAGGATAGGATTGGCGAGCCATGTGGGCCAGAGAACTTCTCGAAGTATATTGGCACGGACCAGCTTGAGTGTTTCTTCATTGATGACATCGTTTTGATCTTGAGCAAAGTTTCTTTTCTTTTGCTGCACTGGCTTAACATTAGGATCTATGTTCAATCTGTGTTCAATGATTTGTCGGGGGACTCCAGTCACATCCGATGGTGCCCAATCGAATATGTCTCGGAACTCACGTAGCAAGGCAATTACTTGGGCTCACAACGTTCCTTGTAGAGATACTCCTAGTTGGATTGTTTTCGAGGGCTCTATCTCATTTATGACTAGTTCCTCCACTTTATGCTGAGTGGAGATTGACATGGGAGGTTAAGATCCATGGGTTGCTCTCCCTTCCTGGATTAAGGTGGTAACACTCCTTGTTGAATTGAGTAACATCCTGACATAGCGGTGCTAGCTCCAGATTTTACAACTTTTTGCCCGCTTTTTATGACCGTGAGAAGGCAATCTCGGGAGCTTCTTTGGCATCCTTGTACCACTCCTATTTCATACTCCGTTGAGAATTTCATGACCAAATGGTAAGGGGACCAAACAGTTTGGGCTTGGCACATCCATGGCCGTCCTAGGATCACATTGAATGGCGAGGGTGCATCAATGATGGCAAAATCCATAGACAATGTTACCATTTGAGGATGTGACTCTACCATGATAGGAAGTCTGACAATTCAAATGGGGATGATTGTGTGTCCTGATAAGCCCATTAATGGTAGTGTAGCTGGACGCAAGTCTGGATTTTGGTTATTCATCTTCTTGAAGCAGTCGCTGTAAATAATGTTGATCGCACTACCATTGTCAACATATAAACGACTTACTCGGAAGTTTACTATGATTGCTTCAATGACCATAGCGTCACTGTGCGGGCAGATGCCTGGGACCACGTCGCTGTCTGTAAAGACTATCACCTCGGTTCCTCTAAATCGCTTATTGCTCAATTCTTGAGGAGGAGTTTTGGTTACTACTTGAACCAAGGCCTTCATGGCTGTCGTAGAGAGAACCTCAAGAGGTGCACCGTAGATTGCCCCCACATGCGTTGTGATCTGCTTAGCGGGGTCAACTAGAGGTAATTGTTAGAGTGGTTGTCGCCCTCCGTCAAGTGATTACTGAGGAGGTTGCTGCATATTGTTTTTTGGTGGCCAATTGCTTTCTCGATTATCTCCTCGAGGGCCTTGAGAATTGCGCTTAAGAAAGTTGCGATCTCTGGTGAACTTCTCTCCCTTCTGTCGAGTAGCTCCTTGTACATATTGTTGGAATTTTCCAGATTTGATGCAAGCCTCCATTTTTTGCTTCAACTCCCTGAAATCTTCAGTTTTGATCCATCGACCTATCAAAATTTGGAGCCAGAGACTTTGGAATGGGGAGTGCATATTTATGAATTTGGAGGATCTCTTGACGAGGTTTCAATAACGGAGTAAGCTGTCTGTCGAGTTTAGGCAATGTCGGTTCCGATTCTATTGCAACCCTGGGCCTATCTCTTCATCCTTGATCTCCTATCTACGAGAAAGATTCCTGTGAGCGCTTAATCGTTTGTTCCCGTTGAATTTAGGTTTAACCGGTGGCCCATATTTGTTGTGTATTGTGAGGGGGCTTAGTCGAAAGCTTTATCCTTAGGTTTGCGGATTTTCCAAATCGGTTGGATGAATCCGTTCTGTA